CACACACACACACACACACACACACACACACACACACACACACACACAGAATGTTAAAACAATTTATACTTTTAGAAGATCAAGCTCCATCAATACCTGTAGAACAAGGAAAGCAATCTATGAAAAAGATTATCTGTCACAAAATGGTCAGCAAAAGGGCTCTAACCACCACAAAGTATAGCCCGAGTTAGGAAAACCCAGAAGAGATGTTTGTACCCATGACGCGCCTTTCCAGCATTTCTGTGGGCATCCAACCCCGGTTCCTTCGCTGGACCATTTATCTGCTTGTGTGGCCAGAGGCACAAACTGCAAAAGTTTGCCCTTCGCCCAACAGATATGAAACTCCTGCCAACTCCCAAGATATCTACACACGACAGAGATTCCGAGATTCTGATACCAGGCTAGGCAGTGGGGAAGGAATGAGGAAGAAGCGTGTTTTTTATTCACACTGGGCAATCAGCTAGAACTTTCTATGAACTTGTCTGGCTACTTTAGCTTTGTCCCCATTCCACCAGGACCAGTTGGGACCTGTTGGAACAAGAGGCCACCTTCCTGTTCTGGTCCATGTGATTTCATCTTAATTTCAATCAAGATTCTGAGTTTCATACTTTTTACTTTGGGCAGCAAAGCCCATAGTACTTGAGTGTAAAACGACAGGGAGGACCCAAAGATCCAATCCATTTTAGGACATGAATTCTAAAGAGCAGATACTTAGAGGACTGGATGGCCTCCCTGGGTCTCAGAGGTGGGTGAGGCCTCTTTAAACCCCTTTATATACACAGACACAGACAGACAGACAAAGACACAAAGACACATACACCCCTGAGACTGTAGGGAAGGGAGACTGACCCAATTTCACCAGAATTAGGAAGAAAAACTGTTAAAGAAAAGGGATTACAGGCTCATCCCCTGCTTTTTAAATCTTTCTGGACACAGGATCTTAGTATGTTGATGTGGGACACCCCTCAGTATGCTGTGAATATGTTTTATTACCATTAGTTAATAAATAAGCTGGTTTGGTGAATAGCCAGGCAGAATAGAGCCAGGCGGGAAATCCAAACAGAGAGACAGGGAGAAAGAAGGCAGAGTCAGGGAGATACCAGCAGCTGCCAGAGAAGCAAGATGTGAGGTAACAAGTCACAGGCCTCGTGGTAAAATATAGAAAAGTAGAAATGGATTCATTTAAGTTGTAAGAGCTAGTTAATAATAAGCCTGGTCCAATAGGCCAAACACTTTATAATTAATATAAGCCTCCAAGTGTTTCTTCGGGAACTGGCAGGCAGGAGAGAAACCTTCATTTACAGTATGCAGCCCAGACTGACCTGGGACTGACTGGCTTTGAACTTATGATCCTCCCTACCCCAGCATCTTGAGTTCTGGGATTATAGACATGTGCTGATACCCCTGGCACTTGTGGCTTTCTCTAGGTGAAAACCATTGAGGAGGGGGACAAAAGCTTGAATGGGTGCAGACCACAAAAAAGGAAAGTAGGGGGCAGAGGGTGGCAGGGGAGAAAACAAAGGCTTGTAGAAAACCTGGAGGGAAACATGGGCACAACTTCAGGGGAAGCACAGGGTCTTGTGCTGAGCTGGGGAGGCCACCTGCAAGGCCGGAAGTCAGAGTGGGAGATACTCGGCCATGAAAAACTGTTCCTCTTGCTAGAATCTGACTGTCCGCAAGGAAAAAAAAATAAATCCAAATCGTAGACACGCCTGGGGTCCAAAGAGAAAAGATCTGACTTTGTCAGGAGCAGTCAGGCCACAAGACAAGGCCACATTGGCTTGTCAGGGTGGGGCAGGCAGCGGGAACCAATAAAGCCACAGGGCAAAGTTTAAGGCCAAAAGTCAGTCATTTCCTACCACTGTCCACGGTCACTTTGCTGGTAGAGTAGAGCAGTTGCGACAGGACTGTGTGGCCTGCACGGCCTGCAAAGCCTAAGATGATTCTTATCTGCCCTATTTTATGAAAAGCTCCCCGTCTATATCGCTGTGTCTGAAACTGACCTCATTTAGGCAAGAGGCACAGGCCCCTGCAGAATGGCCCTTCGTGGCAAGTAGAGACCCATTTAAAAAATTCCTTATGATACTACACACATTGCTTACAGGATGTGAACAGGAAGCTTCTCCCCTGTTGGCCAGCTCTCTTACTACTAGAAGGTGCATTGAAGGCTGCTGGGTGGAGAAAGCCGTTAATAGTCTTACTCAGCTGTGAACTCTGAATTGTAATAATGGCCAGCATGGCAAGATATGACCAAGGGCGTAATAGTGGCATAAATGTTGTGCTGGAAACCAACCGCTCTCTGCTCAGATTTAAGCCCCTACTCCATTGATGAAAATGTGTGCCTGATGCTGCAGATCAACCCAAGAACCAATGGTTGAGGTGTTTACAGATCACAGGGGTGAACTTACTATTCTCCTGAATGGACACAGTGAGGAAAGGGTTTTCAAAATCTGTGTCTCTTTACCCCTTCCTTAGAGCAGCTCTTTCAGTTCATTAGAGAAGTTCAGGCAGTGGATGGTAGTTAGTGTAGAAATTTACTACCGGTCAAAATGCAGTGAAGTGTGCTCATCCACAGATGGAACATCCATATCACATTCCTCCCCAAAGCTCAGGAATCATCAAGGAAGAGATGGCAGAAAGATCGTAAAAGCCAGAGGTTGGAGGGGATCAAAGCAAAATGTGTCTTCTAGATATGGTTGGACCAAGGCCTTCATTGATGACCAGCAGTTGTGGCTGCTGGCACAGGATCAAACCGGTCAATATTCAAGCAAGGAGTGGGAATGGGTTTAGTAGCTCCTGCCCTTAACTGAGAAGCTGCAAATGGTTGATGGCTTCTGGGAGACAGAGAGTCAGTCTTTTATAAGGGTGATACCTGGTAGATCGCCCAACAATACATGCTCAGTAGTATAATGGATGGCACAAGTTGTAGTAATTGATTAAATTAAAAAAAGAAGATACAAAACTCAGGGAGTAGGAAAGTGGAGACAGATCTGGGAGGAACTGAAGGAATTGAAGGTGAATATAATTAATATGCATTGTATGAAATTCTCAAAGAATTAATAAAATATTTTAAAATTTGCTGTGGGATGGTCTTTCTGTACTCTATGAATATGTGTTGCTCTCATTGGTTGATAAATAAAGCTGCTTTGGCCTATGGCAAGGCAGGATAGAAACAGGTGGGAAATCCAAGCAGAGATACAGGAGAAGAAGGGTACAATTGGGAGATGCTGAAGAAGCAAGGCATGTAAAAAATGAAATAACACCATGACCACGTGACAATACATAGATTAATAGAAATGGGTTAATTTAAATGTAATAGCTAGCTAGTGACAAGCCTGAGCCATAGGTCAAACACTTGTAAGTAATATTAAGCCTCTCGGTGGTTATTCAGAAACTGGTAGGCAGGAGAGAAATCTGTTTACAAAAAATAAACATGCAAACATAATCAACAAAACTTCTTCCTGGAGGGCAAAAGTCATTTTATACTCATGGGTATTCAAATCAAAGGTATAAAAATTTCAAGTTCCCTTAAAGTGCCAGGAAGCAACAGAAAGAACAAAATGAAGAGGATAATAAGAGGCTCAGAGTTATGTCCTGATCCCCAAAATATACAGTTGGTGATATGTTCCAACACCACTTCTCCAAAGGGTTCTTGACTCTGAGAGCTCTCTGGGAAGCTTCCCTCACTGTGTGATCCCCTGACCTCTAATGAACAGAGAAAAGAAAAGAGTGGTACCCTCAGATTGAAGATTCGCCAAAGCACATTTATTTCAGCACGGTGCACTGCACGTGAATATTCCTCTTGCTAATTTATTTGTGGGCCATGAGCCAACACAATAGACACATAAGTGTATGATCAACCGTATGTGCAGGTATGTGTGTGCATGTTTGCAGAAGCCAGTGGAAGACATCAGGTGTCTTACTCTATCACTCTCTGCCTTAGTTCCTTGAGACAAAGTCTTTTACTGAGCTTGGAGCTAGACCAGCAGCCAGCAAGCCCCCAGCTCCTCTGCCTAACTGAACTAGGGTTACAGGCATGTGAGTGGCCATACCCTGCGTTTTACACGGGTGCTGTGGATTTGAACTCAAGTCTGTATGCTTGCACAGCAAGTAATTTTGCCCACTGAGCCACCTCCCCACGCTTCAGGTATAAATTCCTAATGGAGCCACATCAATTGATATGCACATGTGTATCATGTATCCATTCACTGGTTATTAGTAACTTATGCTAACAATTTCGCAAAGCAAATCTTTTTAAAAAATTTTTATGATTATGATTGGTGTGTGTACCTTTTAGATTCCTGAATGCAGTAACAAGTTGATTCTTCTACACACAATACCATTTTTTTAAATATATGCACTAACAAAACCTTCTAATTTCTCGACAGAACTTGTCAGATATGTTCTCCCAGCCTTGTCACACTGGGGATGATGGGTCTTGCTCAGTCCCATCTTAGAAGGGCATCAAAGAAGATGCCTCCTAGACCACATGAAATGTACCAGCCACGCTGGTCCATCTCCCACGACCCATAAAGCATCCTCACATATCCGCCATCAGCAGACCCTTCACCAGTCACCTTTCCGGAATGTCTCCCGCTTGTTCTCTGCTTCTCTGTTGATGCGATTCTGCTCTGGTTCAAGTGGAGGCCCCTGATCTTCAAGTTCGTCTTCAGTTTCGTCATCACTGTAGGGAACCACCTCATCGTTGGGCTGAGAATCCTCGTCAAATGTTGTTTCTGAGTCTCTTTCCGTGTTCATTCTGCTGGCAAACTTGAAACTACCTAGAGGGAAAAAGGAAGAAGCAGAGTGAATCGTGACTTCCCTGTGTGGGGCTGTATCTTGCTGCATCCTATATAATAGTATAATACCCCTTTTACAGAGCACCTCCTTACTGACATGCAAATTGTCCACAGATAATGATCTAAACGTTTAACTTGATAGGCAAGAAGAAGGAAAATATTATCAGTTAAATGCTAGATAAGGATTAGGGAACAAAGGAGCCAAGGGAGATGGCTGGGTTTATAAGAGTTTGCTACGTAAGAGTGTGAGGACCTAAGGAAGACACCCACTGTCACTTCTGGTTGCCTTACATGTTATGTACCCACTACAATACACACAAAGAAAAAAGAACATAACTATTAAGACTAAATCTCTCTCAATCCTTCTTTCTTTCTGCAAGGCCACACAAACCTTAAAGTAATATTTCAAATTGTATGTCTCTACCCAAGGGAGGTAAATTTAATGTGGTCATACTTAATGTTAAAATAAAAATGAAATAGGCTAAACAGTAGTAAAGCATGATCCATGTAGCAAGAATAAGTGCTTTTTTGGTTAAGAAAAACTTCACAGTACCAAGAAGTCACACATTTATTTGCATTATATTAATATGTATTCATGGATTTTCCTCCTTGTTTTAGACTGTTGGTGGAGCTGGAACACTGCTGCTTCGAGAGATCTATTTCCTGAATGAGGATCCTTTGAGCCATTGATTGGTACATTTTTAAATATAATCTCAGAACAAGTTTTCAGGGAACAGGCCCCCCTTCGATTGCCTATCCATCCACCACCATTTTCCCGATCTAGAATTTGTTTGTGGGTATGCCATTGCTTAAAGTGACTCTACACCGGGCACAAGGATAAGTTATATTTATATCGGGAAAATATTGACACAGACTCCTCAGGTTACTTGAGGAAGTCATACATGACATTTCCCTATGTGTCGCTCTGCTGTGTACTTAGTATTGTGCGCAGTAGTAGCCCACATTCACGAGTGTTAACTGCACACCAGACCCTGGACTAAAGGTTTCATAACACTGCTCCTTCCAAAGTTTCATAGCACCTTGATGGAAGAGTTACTACTTGTTCTCTAGAGAGAAGAAAACCAAGACTCTGAACATCAAAAAGCCTTGTGACGAAAGCAATTTGCTTTCCAAGAAAAATCCCTTTTTCTCTACTTCTGTGTTATAGCTTATTATGTACTTTTCTTCCCCTGTTTTTTCAAGACGGAGTTCCTCTCTGTACCCCTAGCTGTTCTGGAACTCACTCTGTAGACCAGGCTGGCCAGCAAACTCAGAAATCCACCTGCCTCTGCTTCCCAAGTTCTGGGATTAAAGGCGTGTATCACCACTGCCCAGCTGCTTACTGTGTGCTTTAATTGGGTACAAATGGTTCGCAGAGGAACTCTTTACATGGGTGCACGTTTTACACAAAGCCCAGCATCTTAGACATTTAGAATCATATTTATACCAACAGGTATAAAAATTTTAAGTTTTATATAGGGATTTTTGCCTATTGTGACTTAAAACAATAAAAACCAGAAGGGAGTCAGTGTCTACCTAAAGAGTGTCAATTATACAATTAAATCAGAGTCCTTATTCTGTGGAATAGTGCACATGACTAGCAGAACATGCTAACACGTTTAGAACATGACTAGCAGAGAGAGCACTGGGTGATGCCACAACACACTGTGAGGAAAAGGTGAGCTGTAAGTCTATATATACAGAATAGCATCAGTTACTCACACAAAGGTCAACACCTGTATACATCATTTTAAGTATGATGGCTGGGGCTGGTGAGAGGGCTCAGGGGTTAAGAGCACTGGCTTCCCTTCCGGAGGATGCAAGTTCGGTTCCTAGAACCTGCATTAGGTGACTTCAGCTCCAGGGAATCCAATGCCCTCTTCTGGCCTCTGAGGGAACCTCATGTATATATATATATATATGCAAAGTACCCAAGTTGGATTACTTGTAGCAACAACTCAGTAAACATTAGCTGGCCTTGTTGCTAGCCATTGTTTTCATCTTTAGATAAGCGTTATTTACAACAGCAAATAGAAGGAACCTCTAGATTTTAAGCTTTTTCTGGTCCAAAATTATCTCTAAAATGAATCCATCTTTCACTGGTAGTAAAACTTGTAGACTACCAGCCCCTTAAAATGGAGTCTGCTTGGTTCGGTCAAGCACGGGCACAACCCTTTCCTCTCTGGGTCCACTCAGCATGCTTTGTTCCGTCTTTGGCGCTCATGTCAATGGTCAATGGACACACCAGGTTTTGGTTTGGGTTACTTTTGATTTTCATTGTGGGGTTTGTGCTTCTTCTTTTTAGATTTCTGTAGGTTTACTGATACCTGAGATGTTACTTGCACTCAAGTTAACCTTATTTGGTTTTACAATACTGTCGCGTCTATGCTTTAGTTACTATAGACATATAATGTGCTCTCTGTTCTGGGTGAGCCACCCACACAGATCCATTACTAATCAACTTGTATGATTATGTTGGCATGCCAATGGTTGAAGTGAAAACGTTTGTTGGATCTTACCATTTAAACATGTTTCTATAAGGTGGTTTCCCACTTTTTAGTATTTTATATACTCCCTGAAGGAGAGCTTGGTCCAGACTGATGCTCAGCAGCTAAATTTCAGTCTCCTCTGTAAGATGGGATAACAGTATCCCCATCACAGGACTGTTCAGTTTTCTTAACCAAACACACCCTCCCTGCCTTTGTCGGTGCCTTTGGTCACATTCTTCTGGCACTAAAATGCCCTCCCCTCAGTCTAAGCATGAGTGGTTCTCACTCTTGGGACTATAACGTCCACGTCGCCATCTGCTGATGACACGGAACAGGTGGACACCTGTCCACCTCTGCTGCTACCATTCTCATGGCTTTTCCTTCCTGGCGTTTTCACGGTTATGAACACACTGGAACCTGACTTGACCGCAGTCTCTACAGAAACCCAGAGCCACAGATCTGGCATTCAAAGATCCAGAGACAAAGAGTGCTTTGAGAGGTGTCTGCCAGCAGCATCCTTTGCCATGACCCTCCAGTCCATGCCTACTACCTGGTATCAGATTCCAACAATACCGGGTGAAGATGCAAAACTTGAAGCTCAGTAAAGAGGAAAACAAACCAACAAAACAGCCACGTTCACAAGTCCAGCAAGATGGAGTCTTTCAAAACTTTACATGCAGAGTAAACATGGCAGGACGCTAGTGTAAGGTTTTGAAGACCCTGCCTGTAAGGACCAACCTTTTTTGCTTATCACAGTATCCCAGGTCAGACTCTCTGTGTGCCATAGAGGATGCAATTTTGGCTCTGTCCTTATAAGGCCAGTAGTCTGGACCGCAGTTGATAAATTATAGCCCAGGGGCTTGGGTTGGCCCATTGCCTGTTTTCTTCAAGTCCTATTGGAACATCTTTGCTCATTCATCTAGATATTATTGCCTATGGCTGCTTTAATACTGCAGGAGAAGTATAAACTACAGGGTTCACTATGGAGACCGTGAGGACTCAAATCCTAAAGTACTTACTCTCTGGCCCTTCATAGAAAAAGCCCACTGACCTTGAAACTGTAATGAAAGCAAGTAAGGTCAATAAAGCAATTTGGTCGACACTGAATGTCCAAAGCCAAATAAAACTCACAATGAACTGGGTAAATAGCACCCACATTGCTGATGCGAAAGAAATAAACTACCAGGTGAAGTAGTGAGGAAATGTCCCTTAACAACAAGAGTTGCCGTCTGGATTTTCGGGTATTATTTTCCTCACTATTTCATAGGTGTGTAATCAGAAAAGGTGTACACCAGACACCAACAGGATAACACACTAGCATCTCCCCTTGAAGTGAGGATGCAGTGGTTGTGAACCTTCCTACACACCCACAACCAAATAAGGCGGTGTTTTTATTAACAAGCATTTGTGTGTATTTGTGTGCATGCAACTGTGTTTATGTGTGTGCACAAACATGTGCCTGTGTGTGTGCATAAGCATGCATCTGGGCATACATACAGTGGCCAGAGAACAACTCCAGAAGTCAGTTCTCTCCTATCATGTAGCTTCTAGGGATGGAACTCAGCCCGTCAGCTTGGATGACAAGTCACTCCTAACCAATGAACCATCTTGCTAGCTCTCAAGATGGCATTTCCCCCTTAATCTGTATTTTGCAATCAGGTACTAAAAGGAAAAACAGAGCTTGAGGTGATGGTACACACCTGTAATCTCAGCATTTTTGAGGTCGAAGCCAAAGGAAGCCTCGAGAGTTCAAGGCCAGGGAGCTGGTTTACTGTTGCCAAGCAAGCACAAGGACTTGAATGCAGATCCCCAGGACACACGAATATGGAGCCAGGCATTGGTGGTGCAAGAAAGACAGATAAAAGCAGATGCCTGGGGTTCACTAGCCCAATGTTAGTTCTGGGTTCACTGAGAGGCCCTGTCCCACAAAATAAGTTGGAAAGCAGAGGACACCAAACCCTGGTTGACACACACAAGGACTTGGGCACACAGAAAGAGTTCAAGGACAGTTTGGGCTGCTACACAGTGCTGCAGCTAATCTGTACTATCTAAAACTTAGTTTCAAAAACAAACAAAAGGCTAAAGATGTCCAGATAGAGCACTTGTCTAACAAGCAAGACCACAGAAATGGGTGTGTTGGCACACACTGTAATCTAAGCACTGAGGAGGAGAGGGCAAGAGGATCAATAATTCAGGGGCAGCATCAGCTAGGGCAGTGAGGGCCAGCCTGTGCCTTGTGGGACTCTCTCTCTCTCTCTCTCTCTCTCTCTCACACACACACACACACACACAGACACACACACACACACACACACACACACACACACACACACGGGAAGAATGGAAACAGCAAATAGACAAATAATTTATGCTATTTTTCTCATCAATAAGCTGTGGCATTCAAGAGATTTTCTAGTCACCTGTCCTTAGAAGCTGCTCTTAGCTTAGCTGTAAGGAGCCACTAAATTGTTTACAGTCTATTGGGTAAGGTTC